GGCGTGCATGAGTCCAGTCACCCTGCACAAGGAGAGAGAGCAGCAATGGCTGGTCTTTTATTACAGGAGGGGGCGGGCGGAGACCAGACCAGTCACCCTGCACAAGGAGAGAGCAGCAGTGTGCGGTCTTTATTACAGCATGGGCGGAGACGAGAGCAGTCACCCTGCACTAGGAGAAAGCACAGCAATGACCAGTCTGTATTACAGGAGAGGGCAGATAAATGACCAGTCACCCTGCACAAGGAGAGGGAGCAGCTGTGACCGGTCTTTATTATAGGAAGCTTCTGTACAGAAGGCAATGATCGTTCAGACCTGTGCAGTAATCCAATGCTCAGCAGGATTTCAGGAAGAATACACACGTGTCTTGTATGTAGACAATTTTTACTTAGCCCGGAGTTCAGCCTAGTTTTGGGTAAAATGTGTCGGCAGAGGAGAAGGTCCCAGGCAGGGCTTGGTTTTGCTTGTCTGGAATAATAAAGCTTCATTTACACTGGATTTTTTTTTTACACTGTGCCACCAGCTTGTTTCAGATTTATTCGGTGCGGGTGATGAGTCTCCACTTAGCTTTGGTACCCGGTCAGCCCCGGGGGTGACCCAGTATAAGGGACTTGGGAGCAACGAATACTTTTTCATCAGCTTTTCTGTTTTAAAGGGCATTTTTTGTGTGTGGGTTTGATCGTAATGTTATTTTACCCATGATGGCTGTCCCCCAATGCATAGAACAGAACATTCTTGGTGCTCAGGCTTTCTTTTCAAACCTACTCAATGAACTAATTGAAGGATTCAGTCAGATTCATTGTGCCATGATTTGTGCGTCTGCGGCAAGGATATATCCACGGGTGTTTTATCGCTCCTTTTGTGCCCATTTTTCTCGTGCAGATTGCTGCTTAGTAATGGCTGATGTCATTTTTAGTTCCAGGGGTATGGAGTCTAGAGCTGTGTTTTATAGTTTCCATCAATCAGGAAGGTGGTTTGTTGGTCTTGCTTATTAAGTAGCAGATGATGATTTCCTCTTCCCTTGGTGTAAATCCTTTTTTTCATATATTCTTCCTGTGTGTTCAGAACTAAAAAAAAAAAGATCTAAATCTTTTCCATCTGGACAGTATGAAATATTGGATATGCATATTTCATATTTACCTTCTGCAGCCTGTTGGTCACCGCTCCAAGCTCGCTCCCGGGATGGACTACAATCTCATGTTTAGTTTACCAATTTGTATTGAGATTGTAGTCCAGCCCGGGAGTGAGCTTGGAGCGGTGACTACTTTACAACACACACAGGGCCCATGGGGAACAATAGTAGCCCCCCTCCTGAAGGAAGGACAGTGTCAGCACCAATTCAGAGATGATTGGAGGATCTACAACCGAGTGATACACAAATAAGATACATTGTTGTTCATAGTGAAGGTACCTGAATGCATTTTTAAGATTTAACTTATGAGTTTAGTGCCACTTTAAGTGATGCTTTATATCTCAGGACATCTTGTGGTGGACGAGAGGTATTGCAGGTCACAGCTCCTGATTACAGGGGAGTGTTTATCAGCTTTTTTTTTATATTGTACACAGGCTGGGGGCCCATTAAAAAAATGACTTTAAATCAGCATAACAGCCTGCCGTCTGACAGATAACATTTTTAGAAGGTTACAGATGGCAGTCTAGGTCTTTCACTATAGGTTTCATTTTAATAAAGAGGTATGGCAACAGGGAACTACTATCTTTTGAAGCTCTTCCTGCTAGAAAACATATTGTGCACACATTGACAATGTGCCGTATATTTTTTGCTTGGGTCCTAACAATATCATACAGCAGAATTGTGTATAAATAAAGAAGTTGCACAGATTTACACTGAAAATGTGACACTTTATATAGTCCTTTTGTACATGGGGGCGGGGGACTTTCTATGTGGAGCCCAGTTCCTGTACGCCCAGGAGATATAAATGGACACGTTCTACATGTGTTCTTTTCTATTTAACTCAGCTTCCGTCATACCTTGGTATCGTGTTGCTCCGCAGACCTGTTACTGTGCACACCTCGAACTTCAGGGATGTATATAAAAGCCACTGGTGTCTGCAAGATGTATTGCCTGTAACGTTATCAGGAAGGGCAGTGAAAGCAGCACTGTAAACTTTATTACCTGACGTGTTTCATAAAACCCGCACAGGCTCTCACTGTGCCAGATGGAAAATGTTTTCAGTTTAATTTCAAAGTGGGGGTTGTGGACGGAGCGATCGAACGTTGGCATGGATGTAGAATTCCACGTGTCTACAAGGTCACTTGGCAGCGAACATTTGACCGTTTCTCAGTTGGCGCCGTGATTAGTTCTAGCAGCCGTAAAGGTGGAAGGCAACCCGGCCCTTTTTTCTAATGCTTGATGTTATTTTTTTCAGGTTTATTTATGAAACGGAACACCACAACGGCATAGCGGAGCTTTTGGAAATCCTGGGAAGGTTTGTATGACTATCATATTGCTTGCCTTCTTCCCCATTTTACACATTGGGGGCAGACTTTAGGATAAAAGGTTTTGCATTGTTCGTGTGGCTCGACTTTCGGGCCTCTGCTTTGTTCTCGGCTGAGATCCTCCCCTAACTTCTCTAATGTTATGTGGCGCAGCGGAGGGGGTGGGGGAGCGTCTTTGTCCCTCATTGTGGGCTCCTTTACTGTGTGACTCTTCCTCTGTGAGGTGTCATTTCGTCCCTCCAAACCTACCTTGTCCTCCTGTCTTCCTCTTCCCCCTCCGTCCTTCTCCACTATCCATGCATCTTTATCTTTAAAGGAGAACTATGGAGTCAGTGTTTTTCCCCATAATTCTCCTTAGGGTAACGGGAGGACACAAACTAGTATCCTCCCGTTACCCTAAGCTCAGTATACCGCGAGCTGTATACTGAGACGCTGGAGCGGATCCCGACTTAGATGTCGGGATCCGCCCAGCTGCGTGAGTGACAGCTGGCTCTGCCTATCTAGAGGCAGAGCCAGCTGTACCCGCCCCCTCCCCCGTCCGTTCCGCCAGTCAGCGCTGGCAGATCGGAGCAGGGAGGGGGGAATCCAGCCCCTCCCCCTGTCACGGCAGAGAGCCGTGACAGGATCGAGAGGTGAGCGAACCCGGTATGTGTTCCCTCGCCTCCCGATCTACTGAGCCGACCTGTGACAGTCTCATTGTCACAGGTCGGCTAGAACTATGAGGTGAGTGAAAAGCACTCACCTCATAGTTCTCCTTTAACTCTCTTTTAGTTTCTATGTCTCTTCCTGGTTCTTATGCCTTCCTCTTCTATATTGTGTTCTGTTTTCAAAGGCATACATTTGGCATTATTGTATGGCTTACATTATACCGGTATTTCAGTATTATATGATGGTTGGTATAGGCTAATTTACCCTTCCATTGCTGTTGTTTATTGACTGCTTCCATCACGGAGGCTGAATTATTGCGGTGCTCCTGAAATAAGAGCCATTTCCTTATTCACTTACTGAACTGACGGCATGGATTAAATGGTTCCTACATCTGGATGTACTACTATCACATGACAATTTGCGAAACTGTACCTTTCATGCATATTCGTGTTGTTCAGTGATAGCTGCCCTCTTGGGCTGCTATGCTCTGTCTATGTATATCTGTTTGTTTGTAAAAAAACCCTCAATAAACACTTATTGAACTAAAAAGGGTTTTGCATTCAGATTGTTGAGACTTTTCATCACGGAATTGTTCTTTATGCAGCGGCCAATCATTTGCATGTGAGATGGGTTTGGGGGGCCTCCACCAGTCTTATGAATACATTTTGTGGAGGGGTTGTGTCTTTTTTTTTTTTGGTTGCATGGATAGTTATTTTTATATCTTGTGTCTAGTTGTAATTCCAAAAGATGTGTCACCAGCACTCCAAAAGTAGATTCAATAAATTTTAATGACAACGGTCATTCAAAATCACAAGTACTTTGGGGCAATTGCATAACCAGTACATGTTTCCCGCCATGTATATATGTAGGTTTGGGTTGCACAGTGTGTTATTCTGAGCCTGATGACGGGGACCCTACGTGGCCCCGAAAGTACTTGTGATTTTGAATGACCGTTGTCATTAAAATTTATTGAATCTACTTTTGGAGTGCCGGTGACATCTTTTGGAATTACTACTTACACGGTGCCTCCGTGGTCGCTACAAGCATCCTATTACAGACATCTTCTCCTAGGAGATCCGGTAAGGAGTGCAGTAAGACACACATTTCTTTTAGTTGTAATTTAGGGTGCGTACCTGGGTGGATAAAACATGAACGTATATAAACTACTCCAGCCCCAGTCTTATGTTCCCTTGTCCTTGTTCCTGCTTTATCTGTGCTTTTAGACCCACTGCTGCAAAGTCTCAAAGCCATGCAGCCGCTTCATCTGCAGAGGATAATCTCTTTCATTTATTCCTATGGAGAGGTCAACTGCCTTAGGGACATATAAGTGCCTCGCCATAGGAATTAATTGATATTTTATGATCCTGTGCAGCAGAAGATGGCCATCCCGGAGACTTTGCCATGGCAGAGTGCGGCTCCCAGCTCCAGCAACCAATCTTATATTACCTTTTATCCTTGTTCCTGCCTTATCTGCACTCTTAGGCCCACTGAAAGCGACATTGAGGGGAATTTATCAAAGCTGGAGTAGATAGATAGAATCTGGAGCAGTTGCCCATGGCAACCAATCAGCTTGTCTCTTCAGTTTGCTCAGGTAAGATTTAGAAATGAGACCGAGAAGCTGATTGGTTGATCTGCTCTAGTTTTGATAAATTTCCCCCCATTGTGTCTGCTGCAAAGTCTCCGAGGCCGCAGAGCTGCTTCTTCTGCACATGTGCAGAAACACACCTTAATTTATCACTATAGAGGGGCCGTCTACCTTTGGGACACATGATAGATGGCCTTTCCATTGGGATAAATCAATATTTTTTTGCACATGCCCAGCCCAGAGACTTGGCATTGGCAGCTGTGCTGGACCCAGCGAAAATCTGGCAGGAACGAGGAGAGTTCAATATAAGACTTGGAGGAGGGAGTCAAAAAACCAATAACTGTGCTAAAAGATCATCTCACAATGCTAAACCTTATTGTCTGGTTTTGGTTTTTTTTTCAGCATAATTAACGGGTTTGCCTTACCGTTAAAGGAAGAGCACAAAATATTCTTGCTCAAGGTGTTATTACCATTACACAAAGTCAAGTCACTCAGTGTCTACCATCCACAGGTAATGATCTAAGCTTTCCTAACATTCAGTTGCCTCCATTTCTCAATGTCAGAACAGTGTCTCCCTTGCCCGGGTCGGTCACATGCCAACATATGAAGTCTGGACTCCCATCCTGCCAAAACCTCCCATTATAATGTGAAAGGACAGTTCAAAATTTATATTTTAGTGATCAATATTGTGTCGTGCTCAGACACGCTTTTAGGGGAGCACTGGCTGTGTTATCTTTTCTGATGTTTGATGTTTGTTGTCACCCACCTTGGAGTCCACCCTCCTCTTTATTGGCACCTGCGATAAAGGGGGGAAGAACGTGCAAAGTCCATGCAGATGGTGTTTTGGCTGAGATTCAAGGGACAAGGGACCCCAGTGCTGTGAGGCAGAAGTGCTTACCACTAAGATAAGCTGATCACTGTGCTGCTTCTCCTTTCACTGCCCAGTCACAGGATGGGGGTGGGTACAGGATGACTTGGGCTCAGAGGAAGTGGGTTGAATGATGCTGCCCATCAGACTAAAGACATCGAACTGCAGAAACAAAGTACTGCAGGGGAAAATCTCTGTATTAAAGCTGAATGTTGCAGACCAAGCTGTTTTGTTTTTTTTTGTGATTTAAACGATCTATTCATTTTTTTTTATGGCTGCAACTAATGAGTATTTTCAATGATTAGTTGGCCAATTTATTTTTCCGATTAATCGGATAAAAAATAATTACCATACCTTTTTAATTTAAAATAAAATACAGAAATGCCGTGTTACAAGGATAAAGTTTACTTCAGAATAAAACTGCATGCACAAATGTTTGCAATCGCACTGCACTGGAATGCTCATCATTGCGGTACCGTGCGTTCCAGTGCGGGCGATCACACTGTGGGTGGAAGGCGCGTTTTGGAGTGCCATTGAAATTAATGGAACTGCAACGCCCCTCCCACAGTAGAATTTGTCGGGCTGAAACCAAAAATGTATTTGTGTCCCACTATATATATATGTGTTGTTTTTTAAATAATTGAATTGTAAACCCATGGCGCTTGAATAGCTTCAGCCCGGGAATTAGGGCTACCAGTGGCAAGATTCCCGCAGACGGCAGCGGAATGTAAATACAGCAGGTAGTGGGCGGGTGCAATAGCCAGCCTGCTATTGGCCATTTCAAATTATAGCCAATAGAAGGTTATTGCACCCGCCCACTGCTTGCGGTGCCCTCCTCCCAGCGTGGAGGAGAGAGCTAGGGGAGCCAACCAACTAATCCATAATGAGAATAGTTGGCAACTATTCTCATAATTGATTAGTTGGTTTCAGCCCTACATGTTTTTTTAATCTAGTTTATGGCTGGAGTTTTGCTTTAAATGATTTCAATTATTTCTTGTTTGGGGAAAAAATGTAAATGTGTTATTAAAAAGGCCGGATTTATTTGAACATTTATACCACATTGCATTTTGTTTTACTGTGACCACAGAGGTGTCTTGCCTTGTCCGATTTTTGTGTTCTCTGTTTTGTATTGTAATTATTAATCCCATGTATTTGTTTTCTTCCAGCTGGCGTATTGTGTAGTTCAGTTTTTAGAGAAGGACAGCACACTTACTGAACCGGTAAATGTTTTTCTTCTGTTTTGATCCTTCGTGTTCTGTCTTTTTTTTTTATTTTACAATTACAGTCATCTGTTTACATACATGTTTACATACATGTAGCACAAAATAATAAACATTTTTGGGTTGTTGAATATTTTCATGGGCTGTTTTAGTAGGAAAGAAATTGTTTTCTGGTGTACAAGACAGACAATGAAGCACGTACCTAACACAGCTCATGGAAATGTCCAAAAGAAGTCACCCGCACTCCAAAGGTTCAATGTGTTCAAAGTCTCTTTTCTTCAGACGCTATACAGACATGGTGGCACAGTGTAAAAGCAACGTTTCGTCAGGCAAACACAGTGACGATGCCTGATGAAGGTTTGGTCCCGAAATGTTGCTTTTACAATGTCTATATAACGTCTGAATAAAAGAGGCTTTGAACACATTGGACCTTTGCAGTGCGGGTGACTTCTTTTGGACATTTCAATGAGCTGTGTTAGGTACGTGCTTCATCATCTGTCTTGTACATCAGAAAACAAGGGGCGGGCTTCTTGCTTTGGTCACAATGCATATCTCACATGGTATATATTAGGGATGCACCGATGCTGAGTATTTGGGCAAGTACTCGCTCAAATGCTCTGATACCTTCCCTGATACCGGAACTTGCAGTCAGAGGAAGATTTCCCATGACCAGCAGTGCCGTAGGAGAACATGGAGCCAGATTGCCCGGGAAGCCGGCTCCATGTCATCGGAAAGCAGCGGTATCTGTACTCACTATCGGTGATATGGAAAAGCCAGTATCGGTGCATCCCTAGTATACAGGTGAAACTCGAATAATTAGAATATCGTGCAAAGTTCATTTATTTCACTAATGCAACTTAAAAGGTGAAACTAATATATGAGATAGACTCATTACATGCAAAGCAAGATAGTTCAAGCCGTGATTTGTCATAATTGTGAGGATTATGGTTTACAGCTCATGAAAACCCCAAGAACCCCAAATCCACAACCTCAAAAAAGTAGGATATTACATGCAATCAATAAAACAAGGATTGTACAATATCGGACCTCTGAAAAGTACAAGCATGCATATGTACTCAGTACTTGGTTTGGGCCCTTTTTGCAGAACTTACTGCAATTACTTTTGCACGATATTCTAATTATTCGAGTTTCACCTGTATATAGACCAGGACAGGCTCTTGCTAGAAGGTGATAAACATGCATACAATTTTTACATACTGGTATTCTAGAAGGGTTCTCTGCAGTGTTGGGTGGGAAGAGCCGACACGTTCATGCATCTGTCTTGCTCTGTATATATAGTGTATATATAGCTGTGCTGTAGGGATACCAAAATCAATATTCCCCACTGATTTTTTGGGGTACACACACGGAGATCCCCATTTTGCACCCCATTCATAAAACGAGATCCATGGTGTGGAGCCTTCATTGCCCGATAGAGTTGTGTTTGGAGCAGAGTCAGTCATGTGACCTGCCAAAACCAGGCTCCTGCACAGAGGCAAAGTCTCACACTGGATTACTGCAGAGATCTGGAAGAAATACACAAAGCTCACCTATACGCGTGGCCCTTTTATTTCGGCAATATATATTTATTACAGAGTTTAGCTTCACTTCCACTTTTTGCAGTTTTGTGACTCTGCTGTGCACAGCAACCACTTGTTTTGTTCATCACATACTAGAACGAATCCCATCCCTCACTATGGGCCACACAGACTGTTCTCCTTTCAGACACTCCTTATACAGGGGTCCCAGTCTTCTGAGAAGTGTTTGGGCTGTGCTTTGATTTGGATTGTGCTTCTCTACAGGTGGTTATGGCGCTGCTCAAGTATTGGCCGAAGACTCACAGTCCAAAGGAAGTCATGTTTTTAAATGAGCTAGAGGAAATTTTAGACGTCATAGAACCTTCGGAATTTGTAAAAGTCATGGAGCCGCTCTTCCGACAGCTAGCCAAGTGTGTGTCCAGCCCGCACTTCCAGGTATGCCGTCCTTTGTGATGTTAGAAAGCTTATTATTCAGCGTGTGAAGTGTTTATATGCAATGCTACTTGTGTTTTAGAGTCCAGTCACACCATGTCCAGTGCGTTCCGGTGCGGTTCAAGTCCAGAACGCACCGGATTGCATAAATCAAGACGGGCAGCGTTCTGGGGCGGGAGGGGTGGTGTGTATGTGCCATTAATGTCAATGGCACCGCAGACACGCCCCCTGCCCCCAGTGCGATCGCCCACACCGGAATGCGAAGTACAGGAATGCCCTCCATTCCAGAGCAGTGTAATCTTCAAAAATGCTGCATGCACTATTTTTCCCGATCGCACTGCGCTGGAACAAATTGCATTCCTGTACCTCACATTCTGCTGCGAGCGATCACACTGGGGGTGGGGGCGTGTCTGCGGTGCCATTGACATTAATGGCACTGACATGCCCCCTCCAACCCCAAAACCCGGCCCTGCTTGATCTATGCGATCCGGTGCATTCCAGGCTCCAACCGCACCGGAACGCATTGGATATGGTGTGACTGTGCCCTTAGGGGGATCAGCGTTAGTAGTTTGTGGGTTTGTTTACATAACGTATATGTTGCACCAGATGCGAGAAATCCACCCTCACCCCAATTTTATTAATGTACACTTTAACTCATTTGTGCTAAGGAGTGATTAAAGCTTAGGCGCCCAAGAAAAATTTAGCAGCATCAGTAGAGTTGACAACAACTGATTCACAAAAGGGTGAAGAGTTTGGAGAAGGGAGGAGAAGTGAACAATCTAGGCCAAACTAGCTGAACTGGAAAGTGAACTGAATTGGAGAATTTTTCCAAATCGGCTATGTTGTCCTAGATCAGTGATTCTCAACCTGTATAACCTCAGGACCCACATCTGTCCTTGGTCATTAAGTCGCGACCCATACTGGAACGCACGGCATTGATGTACTGCATGTTCCAGTGCAAGCGATCAAACTATGGGTGGGTGGTGTGTTTGGGGTGCTATTCAAATGAACCTCCTGCACCAGAATAAACAGTAGGGGTTCAGTGTGGGCTGCTGTGCTGTGACAGCTCCATCCATAGGTGCATTGCTTGTACAGCTCCCTTGCACTCCCTGTAGGGGTGCTGGGAGCCAAAATGTGACATCACTCCAGTCACCCGAGCTATAAGCTATGCATGTATGGATGGAGCTCCCTCACGGCCGTACACCCAGCCTATTCCACCTCAAGCTGACATTCGACGCCAGGCAACATATTTTGAATGGCTGCTCGGCATGAGAACTGACAGTGCTGCGCTATGGGGGAGGCTGAAGAGTCTCTCACCTAGTGCAGTGAAAGGCATGCAGCGACCCACTGAACATGTGGTCGCGACCCACTTTTGGGTCACGAGCCACCAGTTGAGAACCACGGTCCTAGATTGTTCCCTTCTGCTGCCTTCTCCAAACCCTTCACCCTTTTGTGTATAACCATCAGAGTCTTTAATGCTTCCGTTTTATTCCAGGTGGCGGAAAGAGCTTTATATTATTGGAATAACGAATACATCATGAGCTTAATCAGCGATAACGCAGCTAAAATCCTACCCATTATGTTCCCATCGTTGTACCGGAACTCCAAGACACATTGGAACAAGTAAGAAAATAGTTTTTCTTAACGTATGTTTATGAAAGTTCTTATTTCTCCAGGCCGTGGTGCAGCTCGTAGTTGTCGGTCACATTCACAGCCGGGCTGGTTTAGAAATGTTAAAGATGTTTCAGCGGGCATCCAAGTGGCTTCCGTAGTTCATCCATCATTTTAGATACCCCATAGTGCTCTTGGGAAAATTTTTTAATGTATCGCATGATTATTTGTAAAACAATTACAGAGATATAAAGCTTCAAAAGCTCCTTCGTTCCCCCTTCCTCCTCATCTCCATAACATAAGGGAGAGGTGTTCTGCAGAACTTGGGTCGGGCTGACTACATTGCTTGGGATTTCAGCACAGCAGAGGCAGCATTGTCGGCTCACTACAGGAAGTTAGGAGTTTACTGGCAGGATTATCGGCTATTATTCTGCAATATGTCTGAGACAAGCATGGGAAAATGTCTGAGACAAGACATGCAGGTTAATAGTAAGCACCACAAGGTACACTTGAGCAGGAGAGCTTCCTCCTTGCCCTGTCTTAGATTGCTTTCTTTTTCTTCATGCCTGGGCCGATGGGCCTTTGCTTGCGTCAGACAGATTTGGCATTCTCATACAAGTTTATAGGTATGCAAAACCCTCTTGAGGCCGGTCAAATGCAGGTCAGGAGGTGGTCAAATATACCTATCATTGAATTCTGAATGATCTCAGCTGCATCAGACTTGTGTCGATGGCATCAGTTTCAAAGGTCCATCAACACCAGGCCCTTATAGAGTCCTCAACACTTGAGGCAAATGCCCAACTTATCTGTGAGGACGAGTCTTTCCTACCAACAAGAGTAATCTTAACTAGAGCAACATATGCATGGATGGCTTCACATAAGTAGTTTGCTCTTCTATCAGTCAATTTCTATTCTTGTGACGGTTTCGGTGTCACAAACTTCAGAACTAGCGTGTAATTAATGTCCGGGATAACCTTTGGCAAGCGTTCCAGGGACGTCTTCTGTGTTGTTCCCTCAGATGAACTTTTGATTGATAGCAGCTCTGTTTTCACAAACCTGTCGGACCAGATGGCTGTGTCCTGGCTGCACTCTATAAGATTCCAGTCCCCTGCGTGCTCGTCACGCTCTTTTATAGTGTGTCAAAGGCAAACTTTTTTCCTTCTTAGTTTTGGGTTGACTGCTGAGAGGTTATATTTGTATGTTTTTATTGTCATCTTTGTCCTCGCTGATGAGATTCACCCTTTCTATTTGTCCTGGTGACCACTGTCAGAGGTGAGCGAAAAAACAAAATTGGTCTCCAGTAGGGTTGCACAGATACCAAGTACGAGTACAGATACTTTTCAGCTCCAAGACTAGACTAGAGAAAAATGCAAAAGTTAGGAGGCAGCTGTCGTCATGTGTAAGGAGCACACAGAGCTCCCGGGATTTGTACATCTCTGTTCTAATGTATGATTTTGTTTTTATAAATAAAGGGATGCACAGATACCAGTTTTACAAGTACTGGTACATTTTTGTTTAGTGTCATGTGACAGTTTTTCTAAAACAATATCGACTAATGATTTCAGGACAGTGGTGGAGTGCCAGAGCCCGGTCCCAGCTGCAACCACTGCAACCCTGGTAGTTCTCATTAAAATGCCAGGTATCTGCACTGGTACTCGGAAAATATCTGTCATCCCTAGTTTCCAGAACAGTAACTGCAGGAAAATCTTCCAATCGGGACACTTATTCTTGTGACACCTAAGGAGGAGATGTCCTCTCACTTTCTGTTGTAGCTGTAGGACAAGGGGAGGATAAATCAGGGACTGGAATGTAAGTGAGACACAAATGGGGGAAAAATAAAATATGGATGAGTTCTAACCATTATTTATGCACAGGGGATGGAAACGGCCCAGGGGGCCATATGAACCGGCCACAGACACGCGCCCCTCCCGGCCTAATCAGTTACAGCTAGTACATTGCCCACCCCGCAGCTATACATTACAAAGCAGTGGGGGAATGCCGTGCCACCACTAATTTGGCCTTACTAACCATCCCCTGCTCTATCCTAAATCAAAAAGAGTTTTGACTTGACACATACTTTAGTTTGTCCATGTCTATATTGTCAGACCATGGAAGTGATGTTATCGTCCTGCAGACTGCTAGCCATGAACTAGATGACCGTTTCCAGTCGTTTCTGTAGAAAATATTGGATATGTAATAGGGCCATGATATTTCAACAGACACGTGTAATGAAGGTGATACAACGCAGAGTGATAACAACGCACTGCTTGCTTTCCCGTTCAGTAGTGATGTAGAAGTTTACATTTTGCTGTCCCCTTTTGCCTGACCTAAAAGCTAACAGAGTAATCAGATTCATGGCAAAGTTATCTAGATGTTGGATATCCTAATTGTTTAAAGCCCGGCTCCAGTCCAAGTTTGTGTAAGCAAAAAGGAGCCCTATCTTGTGTTTAAAAAAAAAATGGCTGCAATGGCCACCTCTATCCCAGAGCTGTCCTTCGCAGTACCTCTTTTCCACCACCAGAGGTCCTGGGGGGCTTTAATACAGAAGAATGAGAACATACTGTTGAGTGAAAGGCATTACAGACCTGCCTCCAGAAGGGGGTGTCACCATAAGAGTGCGTAGTGATGCAAAGTCAACGCCACTCTTTGCATCATTGAGGACTGCCCACCTTTGCAAGAAGATTGGAAGAGGACCCTGCACGTGACCTGTCCTGAAGACGTTGTAAAAAGGTAAATATAATTAAACAAACAAATGAGGCAGGGAGCCTGGAGTGGAGGGGCACTGATTGATGTTGGGGGGTGGCTACATGGACTTAGTTTTGAATATCCTCAGCAGCTCTTTCATCTAATGTAACTTGTTCCCATTTAAAGGAGAACTATGAGGTGAGTACTTTTCACTCACCTCATAGTTCTAGCCGACCTGTGACAATGAGACTGTCACAGGTCGGCTCAGTAGATCGGGAGGTGAGCGAACACATACCGGTTCGCTCACCTCTCGATCCTGTGACGGCTCTCTGCCATGACAGGGGGAGGGGCTGGATTCCCCTCTCCCCGCTCCGATCCGCCAGCGCTGACTGGCGGAACGGACGGTGGAGGGGGCGGGTACAGCTGGCTCTGCCTCTAGATAGGCAGAGCCAGCTGTCACTCACGCAGCTGGGCAGATCCCGTCGTCTAAGTCGGGATCCGCTCCGGCTGCGGCGTCTCAGTATAGCGTGAGCTGTAGTTCGCGGTATACTGAGCTTAGGGTAACGGGAGGACGCTAGTTTGTGTCCTCCCGTTACCCTAAGGAGAACTATGGGGAAAAACACTGACCCCATAGTTCTCCTTTAAGGTTTAGTAGTACTGTGCCATAAAATGCAAAATGAAAAAAAGAAATCACAAACTCAAAATTATGCTTATTTTTTCTGCCCCCTCCCCATGTAATCTGGCACTAAAGCATTTCCTATACTTATCCATCAACTTGTTCCAGGCCCCCTCCAGCTGCGGGTCCTGTCTCTGTCCAAAGCTGGAGGGCTACATGGCCGCTGTCATCATCCAGGAACTGTGTTCAGGAAGAGACATTAATTGGCTGGCTCGGCCTGAACACATTTCCTGGATAATGACCGGGGGCCATGTGAACCTCCTGCCGGGCCCGCAGCCAGAGAGAGCCTGGAACGGTTGTTAGGTCACTATGAAAACTCTTTATTGGCAGATTGCTTGTTAGGGGATGGAGAGCCGGATTGGGAGAAGAGTTCAGGTCCATTTCAACAGGTCAGGGGCTGACTAGGTATTCAATCCATGATCAGGATGACGGCCTCAGACAGACCACTTTAAGAAAACAAGTCGGCAATGGCAGCTCCCATATTAATGGCTGTACAGGTTCTCTTTATTATGAATCTGTCAGTAAAATAAACACTTTGCAAGAATAAATAGTGCACACGTCTACATTGCAAAATTTAAATAGGAAAAAGCACTTCCTTCTTTCCTCTTGCTTTGGATTATAATATATATTGTGCCCTTCTAAGCCTCTTCTCCTACTACAAGTCTAAAAGAAAAGGTCCGTCTACCTGCAACAGACTTGTAATGTGAAACAACCACAGTGCTCCGGTGGGGGCGGAGAACATGTGATCTAGCTTTCTGGGTCATAAGCTTAGTTGTGGGAGCAGCAGTTTTTTTTATCTATAGCAAGAAAAGCCCTTTTTAAACCCAAAATAGTCACGTGGTTTAGTAATGCTGACGCATTGCCAAATGATTCATCTATTATGCACTTTAGTGGTTACCGTGTGGGCTCGTTCACACCATCTGCATTTAGGCTACACTGGCTTTTTTTCCAGTACAGCCCGAATGCAAAACAAGACAACGTGCCTTGTCATGGGTGGAGACAGTTCACGGCACTGCGTTCCGGTGGTGTGTGCTTAAAAAAACAAAACAGTACAGCATGCAGTGCTTTTTTTTTTAATTTAAATGCACCACAGTGAGATACGGTACAATCACAATGTCAAGCCTTTGACATTAAAGGCTTTTTTAAATTTTTTCCCCCCCACCCAATGTTAGTGTAAGGACTTAAATGATGCCTCCTTTATTCGATCATCATCTTCTTTCCTATCCTTTTGAGCTGTCCCTCCAGCGCTGCTGTGGGTTTCCGATCCAGGGCTGACTCCTCTGTCCTCCTCCTTCTCTCATGTCCCACAGTGTCTGCATGCGGGTGCATGCTGCTCCATAGACTTACCTTGTATCTCTCCTTTAATTCCGGCCCGAACATCTGAACTGGACATGGGCCCGCCCCAAGATCTTTTGCGGCCGCCCAAGTCTCTTCAGATGTTCGGATGGGAGCGCGCGGCGAAGACACAGGTACGTTTAAAACGAGAGAGAGAGAGAGAGTGTGGCTGCTGGTGTGAACAAGCCCTATATGACTAGGAGCAGAAGGTGTACCTGGAGAGGTGGTGAACCTATGCGCGACAGCACAGAATAAGCCAAGAGACATCCTATTATTGGCAAACTACAAATCCCGTCATGCATGTGGCTGCCAGAGTCTTGCAATGCCTAATGGGATTTGCAGTTGCACCCCAACTGGAAGGCCAGAGTTTGCCTACCCCAGAAAAAAAAACAGTTGTGAGAGGAGTGATCTGGTTTCCTGTATTCTGTTTGTCACACCAAAAATGGCACTCAGGACCCGACATTCATATAATAAGTTCAGAAATGGAAGTTCGGTACTAAAACTGAAGCCCAGACAAGGCAGAATGTATTATGATGATCGGCTAGACTTTGTCGTGTTAACAGCCTCGCTGCTTGCACCACATAGAGGTGCCGGCTATCTTTCATGAGCTTTTCTTAGCCGTGAATGGGGGTTTTAGTTTGCTTTGTAACTTTCCGTCGTCAAGGATTTCCTTTCCTCACCAGTTGCAATATTTGTATTTCCCTCAGGACTATACACGGATTGATATACAACGCGTTGAAGCTGTTTATGGAAATGAACCAAAAACTATTCGATGACTGCACCCAACAGTTTAAAGCAGAGAAACAAAAGTAAGTTTTGCCTGTTACATAACCATCCTCCTCGGTATTCTCTGAACACTGCTTCCAACCACCGGGGGGTGTAGAGGTTTTACTAAAGAGGAACAACAGATTCTTCCTATTGTGAAAAGCAGAGATTGTGCCACATTGAAACCTTTATGCATAGCTAAGTGTCAGTCTTTTCAAAAGGTCTATTATGTTTGCACTGCAATCAGCATCCAGTCTTATGGGAGGCGGTCATCATAGTATGCTATTGGGTCAAGCTGAATTCTGGATCGATGTGTAGGTACCCGAGTTTGAGTTGATAGTTATCCTCCTGCTTTAAACTGGGCATCTGTGCTGCGTGCAAATGAGCTGACCAGGAACAAGCTGAAGGGAGACGAGTTCTGAGTGAGCAGAGGTATGACCTCATCAGTCTTCTAATGGGGTCATCTAGTCTTCTTCACTATCTATGGATGGAGCCGTGGTTGTCACCCAGGCTGGACTTTAAAGGGTAATTCCACTTTCCCAGGTGAGTTTGGAAAAATGGAATTACCCTTCCATTGGCAGCGGCGGCCAAAGGTAAGTATAGCAGAGGGGGGCCAGGTTGCAGGGGGTTATTTGCATTTCCCCAAATTCATCTGGGAAAGTGTAATTACCCTTTAAAGTAGTATTAAGGTCTGGGCGTTTTTTACCTTGATTAGGGTAGAAATGGCCCAGCACCTTTGGTCTCCCCCACACTCTCTTTTTTTATCTGAACGGCGTACCCGCCGCCGTTCCCGAAGCGGTCCTCCGTTCCCCGAACTTCCTGGTTGCGGGGGGAGGATACTGATGGCGGAGGAGCCATAGGCTCCTTCTGCCATCAATCAAAGAGAGAAGGGGCATGGCCTGCCACAGGGCTGTGTGTCTCTATGGACGCTATGGACTCTAAAAAACGGCAACAGCCTCAAGCAAAGGTGGGTCTCCTTGTAGGAAATATTTAAAAAGAAAAGAAGGCTTTAATATCACTTTAAGCATGCCTGCCTTTCATCTTCATTGCATGGGTAATGGGGAGATTAGTCGTTTACAGAAGGAAAAATGGGATTGTTTTTGCGTCCTGTTCAGCTCACAGGAAGTGACAAGGACACAGCAGCATTTTTTGGCAAGATCAAGAGATTATCTGTAATTGCTGAAAATGTTCTTGGTCTAAGTCACCACTCTGGATCTCAGGACTTGTAATCTACAATATATTACATTTTGATTTTAGTTATTAAGGGGATAGCCAGATCACTTCCCATTAACCACAAGTTGTCTACCTGTCTGTGACCATGCTTTTATCCAAGGCACTCACTTCTTGTTTTGTGTTCCAGGGAGAAGCTAAAGCTGAAAGAGAGAGAAGAAGCTTGGGTTAAAATAGAAAACCTAGCCAAATCCAACCCCCAGGTGAGGACTCCTGGACTCCCATAATGCATCTGTGGTTGCTGGAACCCCGATAATGAAGCCATGTTGGCTAGACTTTGCAAAAGTTGCACTCCCATTTGATGATGCTTCAACCACCCAGGGCCTGCGCGTTTTAATTGGCTGACCTTGGCACACGCTCTCTCTCCTCTGCGTTTAGCACCAGCGCTGGGAGCTGCCACATTGCTGCGGATCAGTCTGTCAGACTGTGCAGCAGACACGCAGAGGACTCGGGCGTTTGCTTGACTCCTGTTTTGGGGACAGGCCCGCCAGGCTTGGCTAGTCATCAGGCAGCAGAGCCCTTACCCATCAGACCAGCTTTATAATGGCACATTTCTGCTCTGTGAGTGAAGCATCCATTGATGTCAGTTTCCCCCATTCTCGGGTTAGGGCCTTTCCTGCACTGCAAGGCAGTTGTTTGTGACCTTTGCAGCCTCCTGCGACTATTGTAGATACTCCGAATAACCGCAGTGAATTTTCGTGTTTGCCTGATTTTATCGTGACCTTTTTTTTTTTTTTTTAAGCTTTAGTTGCTGTTCTGTTTATGAAATCTAGAGAAGCACACTTTTTATTGGATATTGGTATTTGTAATATGTACAATAAAGATGTTTTCACAGTAATGATCATTTCGGTGTACAGTGCAGCCTTGTGTGTAAACATCTACATAATCCAATATCGATTCAGTACGGGGGTAGGAGTACAGAGTAAAGAGAATTGTTACAGAGACGGTTCACATTTAAGTATCTGACTTTATTAAAGCCCAGCTCCATCCTAAGCGTATTTTATTATTGATAGCGTGGGGGCAGCCTCTGTCAGGCTTTTATTGCTGCAGCCAGGGGAAGAGAGAATAACAAGAGCACCACACCAGCAGGTTGGGGCCCAAAGGTCTTTATTCTATTAGGCCTCATTCACACGAGAAAAGGCCGGCATGTACAGCTCTGTGCTGCGTGCAGGGACGTATCGGGCAGCTCCCGGGAAGGACAGGTGCTGTGTGTGAATAGTACGCAGCCCCCGTCCTTCTCTATTGGAGTACGCGGCCGTACGCCACCCTATGCTCAGCCGTCCTGCACGTCCGTGCGGGTGAGTGTACTCATACGCTGACAGTGTGGATCCTGTCTGGATCCGAGCCGGGACACCCGCACACGTACGGACCTGCACTTGGGGTGAGCGTAGGGCGGCATACGGCCGCGTACTCCAATAGAGAAGGACAGGGGCTGCGTACTATTCACACACAGCAACTGTCCTTCCCGGGAGCTGCCCGATGTGTCCCTGCACGGAGCTGTACATGCCGGCCGATTCCCATGTGAATGAGGCCTTAAAGTATGCAAAATCTGCATGTGCAACCAACGCGTTTCAGGGGCTCACAAATGTCCCTTTTCAATAGGGGTTGAGAGATGTAAGTGGAAAACCAATGTTGGAGGAATCTGAAAATTGATGATGTGAGGAGGTAAAGCGGACCTTTACCCAGATCTTTACAATAACAACAAACGCGCCTTTTATAAATGTTCAGTAGTGACAATCTACAAACACGTAATTGCCGGCTTTGTATTCTTTGCATACCTGATTTCTTTTTTCTTCCCCAGTCTTCTGACAGTGGCCATGTTCACTAAGGGCAGGTTACTAGATCTCCTATTACTTCCTGGGTCACTGGCACATGTGACCATGCACATCATCTCAGGGGAGGAAAATGCCTTTCCCTGAGATCTCCTGAGATTACAGATGAGATTTCCCAGCAATGCTCTGCTGATGTCACCTTCCCAGGATGCAACGCTTTGCCAAAATGAAGTAATTTCTCCTTTTCAAAGCAGGAAGTGAATGCTCTGCAAGTGTAAGGATTTCACAATCGCAGCGTTTTACACCTGACATGTCTATGTTATTATTAATCGTCATACATAGAGGGATGCGTTGGTAGAATTCTGGAAATTGGTAGGGCACTCTAGTCAGCAGTTGAAACGCATTGGTTGTCCATGCAGATTTAACTTGAACAGTTTGGAATAAAGACAGTTTTGGGGTGCAGCCTGTTGGGGTGACACTACTGTCCTTTCTTCTTCTGGTTCCAGTCTGAATCGGCTGTGCCCTTTATATGAGAGCTGCTTTCCCAGAGTTGTTGCACTCTACTAACCCCACAGGACTTTCTGAAGGTAGAATTACTTTGGGGATCCACCATCCCCCACTCGCCTTTCCAATCAACCTTTGTTGTTGCGGTTTCCAAATTTGGGAGATTTCCCTTCACACTTTGGCCGGATGTAATGGAAAATCTCTCCAACGGAGGTGCAGACAAACACATTAATGGCTTGCGTAAAAAGGTGATGGGGAATTTATTAAAAATGGAGCAGACAAAATCTGGAGCAGTTGTCCATGGCAACCAATCAGCTTCTCTCTTCAGTGTTCTCAGTTAAGACTTGAACATGAAAGGGAGCAGCTGATTGGTTCCTGTGCACTGGTGCTGCAGATTTTGTCCACTCCAGTTTTGATAAATTCCCCTTGTGGTGTTCACATATGTTTAATGTTTGCATTTAGGACCTCAGTGGTACAGTGTGGTTGATGGTTCTGAGGCTGTGTTTGACTTGCCTTGTGGTGCTTTTCTCTAGTCACAGCATGTCCCATTGCAAATGCGTTTGCCTTGGAAGTGAAGCAGGTCAAACACAGCCTCCTGTAAAACACATGGCCGCGTTCAAATATAATAAACTGCATATGTTAGCAACACCTATCTACATAGGCCCTGAATATAGAATTAGGAAGGTCAAGAGTTACTAACATTGTTTTATTGTCGCCTTTCAATGTATCTTTTTGCTGTCTGTGTCTTGTTGGGGAGCGTTCCCTTCACTTCCTGTCCAGGAGACAAGGAGAAACTGGAGCTAACGTCCCTCTTAAGCTGGACGTACACTATACAATTTGATTATACAGTTTCCTTTTAGATTTACCAAAACCATGTAATAGGGCGCTCCTAAACAAAGGATTCCGTCTTCATCAGGCCAGGCAGGCCCTCGCACTACATAGTGGATAGTATACCTAAAGAAGATTGTACAAATCTCATTGCATGGTTACCAGAACGGGGGTCCCTGATTTGGTGACCACTGTAAAATTTGGGATTTCCCACCGTCTTGGTGGCAGTAGTCTCGAGGACAGATACAGGGAATGTCCCGAGAAGGCCAAAGACGGCAATAAAGGCCTGAATCTTAAAGACCGATGATGGCAGCATTTTCATAAAACATTGTTCTAGAACTGGAAGCTCCACCTGGGACCAGAACCATTCATCCAACTGCTCTGTGACTGCATTTGTTTCTATGAGAGACAATAATATGTGAAGTTATCGGTGGACAAAAAGCAGTTTTGGGTTTAACCAATCTTCTGTTTGCTCATTAGCTCTTCATGGTCTGCATAAGTGGGGGCGTCACAAGGGGCGTGTCCTTTGCATTCATAGTTTACCCTAAAAAAAAAGTTGTCCCTCTTTCTCATCTCAGGAAGTTATGTGGCTGCTGTATCATATTTTTATGATGGCATTTCAAATACCGGTATGTAGGTATCCCCTACCAGTGGCATCATAAGGGTGGTGCGGCACACACCGGGTGACACCATAGGAGGAGGGGACGCCAAAATGAATGACAGTCATTTTGGTGTCACCCCCTCTGAAAAAAATCAGGCACTGGGTCATGGACCAAGAGCCCGGCAGTTGCACGAGAGAGGAGGTGACCCGGCGGCGTACCTTATCCTGCAGGATGAATGTCTCCTCCTCTCTTTGCCGGTGTCCATCACCTAGATGGCTGCAAGCAGGTAAGCGTTCGTGACATCATCACACACGTGAGCGATTATGTCACCCGCATGCATGATGACGTACCAGAGGGGTGTCACCCGGCGGCCACTCCGTGTGACACCCTGCCTGGAGACGCCCTTGCCAGTGACTCTTGCTGGTAGTCCCAGCATAAGCATGACTGAGCCAGAGAAACGCATTGTCTGATCAGCTGTAAAGCTTAATCCATGTGCATGAAATAAAAAAATGGCGTTAAGTTTTTTCTAATTGAACACGCCTATTAGGATTTCCCTACAGCTGGTCACATGTACATCACATAATGTATATATGTCCCTTTAACATCTCAGCAGCTGGACAAATGGTTAAATGACAAAATACATGGTCGGCCAGCCGCTGTTTATCTGCTATAAGGTGGTGTCTCTCCCGAGAAGATTTATCACCGTTATTGTTATCTTCCACTATGTGACAGAGAGCTGCTAACTAAAGCCAGATGCTTCAGGAGCTGAGAGGAGAGGCTCCCGTGGAGTGTTTGTATGAGAAACATGTGACAAGTCACAGATACTTCTCTACTGTTCTGAGCAAGCTCTCTTCTATTCTGTTCTTGGAGCTTTGGTGTTTATTGGGCCGTGTGTTAAATCTTCAAGAAAGGAGGGGTGCCCCTTAAAGGTTATTTCCACCTTTTGTACCGGGTTCCATGTTGCACCCATATTTAGAGTGTAGTATGGAGTATGGTGCCATTCCGCAACATCCTTAGGCTTTATATCAGGGGTTGGCTAACTCCAGCCCTCCATCTGTGGTGAAACTACAAATCCCGTCATGCCTGTGGCTGTCAGAGTCTTGCCATGCCTAATGGGACTTGTAGTTTCACCGCAGCTGGAGGTCCGGAATTTTCCTACCTGTGCTTACACACCCAGAGGGGAATTTATCAAAACTGGAGCAGACAAAATCTGGAGCAACCAATCGGCTTCTCTCTTTCATGTTCAAATCTAAACTGAACAAACTGAAGAGAGAAGCTGATTGGTTGCCATGTGCAGCTGCTCCAGATTTCGTCTGCTCCAGTTTTTGATAAATTCCACTCATCATGTTTAAAGCCCTGCTCTGGGCAAATATTGTGTCCCACCCATTCACATAAAAACCCCACCCTAACACATGATCTGCTTACCTGAAACCGCCGTCACTTGTCCTTCTCTGGCGCCTCTACCGAGAATGGACTTTTGGAGCCTGAGAGGACCCTGCCACTGGACAGCCAATGGGAAGTGTTCACGTCACCCGAGCAGCAACACGAGCACCCACAGATGGACCCTTCCACCCTGCAGAGGGAAAGGTAGAAGACTCTGAATCACATAACCGCAGATTTAGGTAAGTTTGAAGGAGCTTGTGGGTAGCTTTTGTTTTTGTTTTCTAACCCATCTATAGGTTTGGGAAGGAGGTGGGTGAGCATAGAGAGGGCCGCATTCCCCAAGATCAGCTTTATGACACATACATAGATTATAAAAGTAAATCCAGGCTGGGATCATAAAAAGCACAAAGCACACCCCAGTATTTATATAAAGGGACTTTTACTTGTGTCCCTCCGAGCTACCTGCTACCCAGAGAATATATGATCATGAAGAAGCTGGACAGAAGAATTCCTTTCATACCAGAAGTCATTGGGGGTTTTTTGTTTGTTTTTTTTTTAACCTACCCAAGATAATCGTATGATCTTGTAGTGCTCAATGCGTGCCCAATTTTCATGATTGGTCCACTGAAAGTATTGTATGTAATTGTGTGTATTTTCTTTTTAAACCCCTTCATCTCAAAGCATGCCTTTCATCATTGCCTTTCATTTACATTGAGGTTTTTTAATGAGGTTTATCTAGTTTTTGTTATCTGTTCTGACTGCACACAAATTGGTCCAAAGAACCGTGCACACTGACACATCTCCTCTAAACAGTCCTGTTGAGATGGAAACAGATGGGCCCTTACTTGAAGATGTACAGATGCTGAAAAAGACAGTGAGGGAAGAGGCATCTCAGGTAACCGCCCTCTATTCTTGTGCCATTTCTTTTTTTTTGTGATGTGAAGTGCTGCAACAAGGTTAAAAGAAAAACAAAATACATCTCAGCGTCTCACAAACTGCCGCAGTTTTGGGCCAACAAGATAAAATTAAGCCCCCTTATCAACTGTGGAGGATAAGATCAATTGCTCATCCCCCAAAGACATTGATATTGCACATTGAATCAAAATATAGATATTTATACATTTTTTTTTTCTTTCATCTCATGAATTTTGTTGTATATCTTTCTGGATTTGTGAATTTATAATCTTCTGGGATTTGTGCATTGACTCCAAATAGATGGGTGAGCAGCACAGTGGCTTAGTGGTTGGCACTTCTACTTTGCAGCACTGTAGGTCTCTGCTTCAAATCCCGGACCGGATACAATCTGTGGACATGGAGTCTGCATGTTCTCTGTGTGCTTGTGTGGGTTTCATCCGTGTACTCCAGTTTCCTCCCACACTCCAAAAGACACGCTGGAAGGTTAATTGCCTCCTCTCTAAATTGGCCTGTGTGTGTGTGATAGAAACCTTAGATTGTAAGCTCCTCGACAGCAGGGACTGATGTGACTGTCCACTATGTAAGCGCTGTGTGAATTGTCGGTGCCATATAAATACTGGACATGTGCGATTTTCGTTTCGTTCCGAATAAAAATTCGGATGAATTTTCAAAAATTCAGACACATTCGAATTTCTGCATTCAAAAGTATCCACATTTTCGTTTCCGAATTTCGGATCCCGTCCGAATTTAGTTAGAAAAAAATAAACTGAATGGGACATGTGACTTTTCTGGCCAATCAGATGTTTTTTTCGGTTTAATGTATCCAAATGGGTCTGAACACCAATTTTCATTACGGCAACATAGGAGCCCTATAGAGTATATACATATAATACTAAAGCTGAGGCTCCCAGACCCCAAAGGCATTCGAGATACAAATTTCCGATTTACATTTGGAAATTCGGATCACGAATGCCATTCGGGTCTGGGAGCCATATACATATATTACCAAAGCTGAGGCTCCCAGACCTGAATGGCTTTCGGGTCTGGGAGATTCAGCTTTAGTATTAATATCTGTATATGGTTTTATGTGGTGTTCGTAAACTCATCCGAAACTAACGAAATTCGTATTTCATCCGAACCTAATTGAGTTTCGCATCCGAATCACGAAATAACGGAACCAAATTTTTCTGCATCTATTGAATACCTGTCATAAATGAACACACCGTTCAAAGGTACATTATATTGACAATTGTTTGGACACCTGGCCATTAATATGAAATGCCGACCTCCCTTCCTTTTTGGCTATAACGACCCCCACTCTCCTAGGAAGGCTTTCCAAGAGATGTTTAGGTCTGTCTGTGGGAATGTGTGCTCATTCAGCCAAAAGGTCATTTGTGAGGTCAGGTACTGATGTTGGATGAGAAGACTTGGCTCACCATCGGCTTTCAGATTCACCACAAAGGTGTTCGGTAGGGTTGAGGTCAGGACTCTTGTTCCTCCACAATAAATGGTAAAACTGTATGGAACTGGCTGTGTGCACTGGGGAACAGGAAAAGGGTCTGCTCCAATCTTCTAAAGTCCAAGGACCTGTAGCACTCCTTACCGGAATTCCCAAATGATAGTTGAGGGTGCTCGCAGTGACCGCGGATGGCGCCGCATTCAGCATAAGTAAGTATATGAACGTCACCAGCACGACAAAGACTTGTCAGTGAAAATCCATTTATTGATACCAGTCAATACTCAAAGTATCATCAAGCACTTTTGGGGGCCGCGCAGGGTCCCCTTCATCAGGCTCAGAGTAAACAGGTTTTTCCTGTTTACTCTGAGCCTGATGAAGGGGACCCCTCTGTGGCACACGTGCCCTATGTTCACCACCTCTGCTGCAGTATAAGTAAACAACAAGTGAAACATTTTCCGCATTCCCCTCTTTAAGGCTGGGTTCACACCTAGGCGTATCGAATATGCGCGTTTTTACCGCGATTCGTGGTAAAAAAACGCGCAACAAACGCACGTTTCCGAGGGCTACCTGGCTGTATCCCAATGGATACGCGCGGCAAAAACACCCCAAAGAAGCTCCTGTACTTCTTTGGGCGTAGGGCGTTTTGTAGCGCATTCATGCGGCCTGTAATACGCCCAGGTGTGAACCATACCCATAGGAAATAATGGGATTTCGGTGTTTGAGCGTTTTGCAGAGCGTAGGAACGCGCTACAAAACGCCCAGGTGTGAACCGGGCCTAACGGTTTTTTTTTTTTAATTTCCCATTTCCAGGCTCTAAGAGAATTAAAGAAGGACCGACCTCTCGTACGACGCAAGTCAGAATTGCCTCAGGACATCTATACCATGAAAGCCTTGGAATCTCATTGCCGAGCTGACGAATTAATAACCCACGACGGGCATTAGACTATGACAATTCAATCATACTTTGTGGATTTTTTTTTCCCTCTCCCTCCCCCTCCCCCCCTCTCTTCTCCAGAAGCAGTTACAGAGTAGGAAAAAAAAAAGAGAAATAACTTTTTTTTTTTGTGCCATACCGATCTCTTTACACGCAGTCCGAGCTTTTCTTTTCTTCCCCACGCTGTTCCGTAGGCAATAACTTGCAGCGTCCAGCCTAAGATCTGACGTTCAAACAATGGTAAGGAAAATGGCTTCTGTACTATGTGTGCAGAGCGATGGGTTACGTCTTTTATCGGCTACTCCCGCGGCGGCTGATTTTAAACTTGCAGAAGTCCCGCGGATACCTTATTTCGAGAGAGCCATAGAAAGGACACCGGTGCTTCGGGAAAGATTGTCACTTTGGTCAACGTGCTAACCCATGTTCTCTTTTTGTTCGCTTATTAAACTCGAGTCTCTGATTATATTATTTTGACTGGGGGGGGGGGCACGATTATTGGCTTTAACTGC